TGCATTCAGATCATAGAGCCTAGGACAGGCACCATTATTATTGTATAAACCGAACATCATAAAAAGACTTTACTTCAGACTTTACTTTCCTACTGACAATTAATTAAGATAATTCACTCACATGAGTAGAATGAAGACACTGCAAGTGCTGTCCCTAGTGCTCGGCCCGGAATAACAAAAGTTGGCAAGTGTGGTAATGCACCAGTCAAAATCTTTCGCTTTCTCTCTATGCACTCATCCATCGGTCCAGCCACCCCCGCAGACTCTAGCTGAGGATCTCTCTCATCCACGTGTCTGCCCATGGTATTTCTGTCACGCTTCTGCTAGTGAAAGTTATTTTGCAAGGCTGCTCCTCTTCTTGGATGGCCCCACACTCTTTATTACTCCATCTTCCTATCCTGCTCCTTTTGTAAGGTTTGCCTTGATCCAATTGATATGTTATTCACGTTACAGGAAAAAAAGATGCCCACACAGTGACCCTAATCTTTACAAATGATCTGTCTTATATTGCTGTTTCATTAAAGCAAGTCTGAATACAACCATCCTGACATCCTGTAAACCTTGCTTTTGGGAGGGCTGGTGGGGTCTTTCGAAAAAGAAAAAGTGCTGAAAATTGACCCTCTCTAATATCGTTTAATTTAATAGGACAGAGCTAACCTTAGGGACTTCTGTGCCACGCCACTGTTGTTGGTGCCACTGTGCAGGTGGAGAAGTCAAGGCATGGAGGGACAACAGAAGTTACTCAAAGTTTTGCAGATGATCAGCAGGAGAGCCAGGAATAGTGCCCAGGAGACAACTCCGTTCCTAGCTCCCAGGAGGGGATGTGGGCAAGGTTAATATAGCAAATTAAAAAAGATCCCTCTGAAATAAATGTGACCTATAAAATACATAAACATTGACTAGCCATAAACAGCATTTACTATTTACAGCATAAGAGCACAAGGATATTTGCCAGCCATTTGCAGCCTGAAGGATAAACAGTAGTTCTTTTGATCTTAAGTTGTCGAAAGGGTCGTATTTAAAGCAATTCATTTCTCCGCAGTCTTTCACCTTTTACATCATTTGTTTTGCCTTACACTGATCCCACTGCTGTAAATATCACTTTTGCAATAAAGTGGTCTTGCAGTAAATATCCATTCTGATAAAGGCGCAGGCTGAGAGGGACTCCTCCACTCCTAGTAGCAGGCAGTGAAATAGAAACTCTGTGGGGATAAAACACGAGAATTGGAGCTTTGA